ATTCCCAAAACTGTATTTCCACCCTGATCTCTTTGCTAAATACCAGGAGCTTCTCTTAAACTGTGCTATTTCCAGCTGGGCCTAAATTCAACTCATCTAGCACTAAACATGTCTCCTTCTCTCCCACTGAGATCTCTGAACCCAGCTCTTCTCAGATTCACCAACAGCTGGCTTCACTCTCCAGTTTCCTGGCTCACAACAGGTGTCCTTGGAGACAAGAACTGGGAGCACAAGTGGGGGCAGTCAGTCCCCCCAGTCACGAAGTTCATGACTCCACTGCTGATGCGTTCTTTTTCTCAGCCACAACACCAGTTTGGACACGATCATCTCATACCCAGATGATTGCAGTGATCTCCTCAGTGGACTCCCTTCCTCCTTTCTTTCCTGCCCGATAACCCAACATACTACCAGCTGATTAGTTTGTCTAGAGCACTATTTTTCATAGATTGCAACTATACCACAGATACTTTAGCACTTCTCAGGTGGCCAGAGAATATTTGGGCTAATTCGCCTGGCAAGCATGACCACCACAACCTAATGTAAATCCGTGTGTGCCTCATGTTTCTTGCATAACACTGGGCTACAGAGCAGTCTCACCTGCTCACAAGTTTGCATTGTACCTTCCTTGGCAAAATATGTCACAAATTCTAATAGTGAATATTGGTGAATGGATTGCTAAACCTCAGCTCCTTCTCATACTCTTCTTGGCAACTGGAATACTCTGTTCCTCCTTGTTGAGCCTCATCTGACTTATCATTTCAGGTTCTGCTCACTCGGTAGCAACAATTACTGTCATTTATCAAGCCCTTGTTGTGCGTTGGGCATTAGGCTCAGAAGGCAGAGTGCTGAGCCTAATGACTCATTTAATCCTTACAATTCTATATTGTTAGAGCTATTACCCCCAATTTACAGAGGAAGAAACTGAGGTTTGGGTATATTAAATAAGATATGCGGGTCACACCGTGAGTAGTTGAGTCTGCTGCCAAAGCCTGAACCCTCCACCTTTATAGCATGCTGCCTCTTTTCCTCTATTTTCCAGAGATACATCCTTCCCCTCTCAATACACTGCATTTCTCTTCTCAGATGCAGCTCCAGCCTTGTCATGTGGGTCTCTCTGCAGTACTGTTGTGGCTTTTATAACATAGCATGGTAATTAGGTGCATGGACTCAAATCAGACCATCTGTGCTGGAATCCTGACTCTACTATTTACTAGCATTGGGTGTCTCAGGCAACTTAAAATAGTGCCCCCACATCTATAAAATGGGGATTGTAACAGCACCTGAGACAGATGACTGGAATGATTGAATGAGTTAACCTTTGTAGAGCACCGAGCACAGAGTAAGCTCTCAATGATTATTACCTGTTATTAAAATGTTCAATGCCTATGCCTTGCCTCCTATTAAGAATATAAGCTGACTAAAGACAAATGCCATATGATCTCACCTTGAACAGGAAGCTAAACAACAAAACAAACAAGCAAGCAAAATAAAAACAAAGACACTGAAATAGAGAACAGGGGGACAGCAACCTGAGGGGAGAGGGGAGGGAATTTAGGGGGAAAGGGAGAAGGATTTACAGGAACAAGTATGAAAGACACATGGATAACAACTAAGGGGGGTGGAAATGGGAGGGAGGTGGGAAGCATGGGGCAGGGTGGACCGGGATGGGAGTAATAGACAGAAAACTGTACTTAAAAATAATTAAATAAAAAAAGAATATAAGCTAGTTAAAGGAAAGAATTCTTTGCCTTTTTAATTCTACAGCCCTAGCAAGTCTCTCCAGTGAAGGTACCTCCACTAAGCTGAGATTTTAGGCGTTTCATTGTTGTAGTTATTGTTTAGGAAATAGCCAAGATTCTAATGATTTTAACTATCACGGCCAGACTTATACAATGTGAGCTGAAATGCTGAGCTCATAAATGACCCATGAATTCATAACGTAGCCACAGCTACACAGACATTTAACTCAACGAGCCTTTTTTGCAACACCTATTCTGTGCCAAAACCCATAGGCACAGAGGGAAACTTGGAGAGGCTGAGAGAGCCCCTCCTGGTGCTTCGACAAAGGAGGCAAAAATTACACTGAGGAACCATACCAACTTAAACTTTATCAAGAAATTTTGGTGTGGAAAGATTCTAGGGGCACATTTTATGATTAAAAAACAGCCCTGATTGATTGCCTGGCCATATTTAGATCAATCCAGAAAGTGGCAGATCAGCAAAGCATAATTAGCATTTCTTTTCCTTTTTTTCTTGGAATTGGGACAAAACATGTTAAAGTGACATTGAGTAAAATCTATAACCTCCATAGTCACTTGGCACTAGAAAAGCACATCCTGTTTACCTAGAACATTTAATCTGATTTTGTAAAATCCGCAAGTAGCAGAAGCCAAAGCATCTGCAGGGAAGTCAGTGCGATTGTTCCAATTTAAACTTGAAAGGCAGGACCATCCATGGTCAGGAGAGCTGGAAAATTCATTCTCACATGCAGTTGTGAGGAGTGTCTGCTCTTTTCGTAAACAGCAGCAGCTAGGATCCTATTGCATGATGCCCACCGCTGCTGGCACTTTTGGCCCTGACTGTAAGGCCGCATGAACGGGTATTGTTTCTGCTTCTCATTTTACCTCATACAGTTAGGACTCAGTGGTTCTAACTCCAGCTGCATAAAACAAACCTGTTCAGAGATTAAAATAAGTAAGTCCCTTCTCATGCCCCTTCCTCAGATAGTCTGATTCAGTTGCTCCAGGAAAGTGTCTGGGCATTGTTCTTTTGAGGGGTTAAGTTTCTGTAGTGATATGTACAGAGAGCAGTTGTTAAAACCTGCTGCAACGTGAACAAGGCAATAGCTTGATCTAGCCACAGTTTCCCAGCAAAACTGGATTCTGTGTTGCTACAAAGCTGCCAGAATCCAGCCAATCATGTTAATTTTCTATTCCACAGGACTTTTGTCCTCATATTGCTGACCAAGAATGGTGCAGCAAAGTCAGAGATCTGGGTTTCTTCTCATCTCAAGTGCCCCAGAAACATTCCTTGTGTGTTACTGGGCAAATAACCTCTGAATCTCTCATGTCTTTACTGCATAAAATGGGAACAAGATGCCCGCTATACCTGTGAGGTCATGAAAGAAGAGGAAGCCTCTGTCTGGGGCCAAACCTCTGCAGTAAGGTAAAGTGATTAATCATATTAGCCAGGGATTGGGAGAAGCATTGGGCAGGCACGTTTAACAGGGTGGTTAAGAAATAACCACCAATTGTCCAAAATCAGCAGGGCCAAGTGACCCCTTGAGTTTGGGGTAGAGAAGAAAATACCAAACAGCAACTGAAAGTATTTTGTAATTATTCTTGGATTTGACATTGCTTATTTGTACTTTCTTTCCATGAGGGATCTCAACTTGTTAATAGTAATTTTTTTATTCACTTGTCTCATAACAATCTATGGGGGGAAAGAGGGATAAAAGGCCACCTTTTTACAGAAGACTAGAAGAGATAAAAATAAACCCATCTGTTAAACACATTTATTATCCATTAAGTGGAAAAGGAGTGTCTCCTACCCCCACCTTATCTTCCCTGGGCCAACCACTTAATCTAAGGATCTATCAATCTGCCTCTCCATTTAATTTTCTTTTCTCCCCCACCCTGTTTTTTCCCCCAGAACAAGCCTGCCTTTGATGGTCTTCAGGAGAAAAGCCCAAACCTCAAGTTGCCAAATCTAGAATTTAATCCATGGGAAGTTATGAACATTATTAATTGCCAAAACCAAATACAACACAAAATAATAATGGTAAGAATGAGTAAAAGTCTTTCAGGTCTTTTTAAGTGTTAAAAGAGTTGTTCATACTTCCCATGTTTCAGTTCATCTTTCTGGTGAAAAGGTGTTGTAATGGATCAATACCTCAATTTGACAATGAAAATTTATTGTATTCTTATGTGCCCTGGCTTGTCCTAAAAGCTTGGAAGAAAGAGAGAAACACATTTATCCGGTAAGATACCCAGCAAACTATTGACGGATTAATTTGAAGGCTGAGAAAAAACAATGCATATGGGGGGGGGGTTGCTTGAAAAACTGTTGAAGATATTCTGTTAGAGTACAAATCCATTCATGTGTTACTTGTACAACTCAAAAATGAAAAACCCAAAACATTAGCCGTTTATGAAAAAAACTGACCAGCAGAAAAGTGGCACAGCCTGGCTTTTTACAATGTGTAAGAAAACAGTTTCAGCAAGCTACACATCAAAGACCTTTTTCTTCCTTCTAGAATGCTCGAGGCAGGTCTGCCCAGCGCTTAACCCCAGCATTCCTCCTGACTTTCTTCCCTATGTCAACTGTGAACTCCTGTCCCCTCAGGCAATGGGTGGGAGGCAACATTTCACAGATCATCTCTCCCGGGGATGAACTGACAGAGTATCCCGAGCTCTGGCTATAACACCGGTACTGGCACGCTCTCATCAGTGCCTCTGAAACATGGCTGCCTGGCCATGGAGATTCTGAGTGATTCATGAATGCCCTGGTCTTTATGCTATTTTCTGACTCAGAGACGGGAAAATTCATTAACAAAAAAAGGGAGAAAGAGAAAATTCTATAATCGAAAAAGATCCCAGTTAACACCTGATACTCAGTCTCCCTAACCACAGTCTAGACTGTGCAGTCAACGAGCACAGTCAACGAGCTGTGCAGTGCTCTTGACCATGCGTGATTTACGCTCCCAACATTCATGGCACAGCTGCACACACACTATAAAACATAAAATAGGAAGGACACAGGGACGAGAACTAAGGGGGATGGAAATGGGAGGGAGGTGGGGAGCAAGGGGCGGGGGAGGCTGGGATGGGAAAAATAGACAAAAAACTGTACTTGAAAAATAACTAAATAAAATTTTTTTAAAAACCCAGAAAATCAAAGAGGTAAATGCCTTCAGGAAGATGCCTTTAAAAGGAGCGTCAAAGTGACTGAGGTTTTGCTACAAAGGGTGACTGACCACAGAAGGAAAAAATGCCTGTTACCTGTCCAGCACCGAAGTCCCCAGATGGGCTCCTGCTGTCCCCAGACGGGCTTCTGCTATAACCAGACACCTACAAGCTTCCAGGTTTCTGTTACAAGGCCATTTGTCCCTCAGGTTCCTCTAGAGCCTCACACCCGCTGAAGAAACAGCCGAGCAGGACTCATTGCGAGGCTCGGGCAGCTCCGCTCCAAGCTCGACCACCCTGCTGCTAGTGCCTCCTGCCCTGAGCCTCACAGAGCCATTCCTGAGGGCCTGCTGCTGTTTGGAAAACCAGAAGTGGTTTCCTGGTCTTCTTTGCCGGATGGCGTGTGCGATTTCCCTCACGCCCATGGGAAGTCCTTCAGATCCTTCTTATCTGGAAACCTCTATACTGAGTGGCCAGACTTGTTTGGCCAATGGCCCTAGTTCTTGCTTTCCTTTCTCCAAAGAAAAACATCAGAAAACTGAAACCAAAGCAACCCCAAATGGGCTAGAGCTGATGACGGATATAGGATGCTGGGTTGAAACCTTGGAAAGATGTCTGCCTAATTAGACTGTGATTTCAGAGGGGAAAGAAAAATTAAAATTATCAATGAGTTCCTTATCTCTAGAACTGCCTAAAAGTCAGAGAGTAAAAAACTCCAAAGAATATGAAAAGACCTAAAGAAGCGGTTTAGTCCTAGCTCAGGGCTTTAGGGATGGCTGATATACCAATATGCCACATGAAAGGACACTAGTTTTTCCAGATTTCCAGGGAAGCTCTATGAAAATTTGCGCATCAAGTTGTAAATTGTAAGACATGTAAAAATATCATCTTGATAATATTAATATATAAAGATAAGAAGATCCATGGAAAAGGGTCAGGTAGTAGGGTGCAGTCAGGTATTTGGGATTAAAGATTAATTCTAATAGAACTTTTTGAACTGGAAGTGACCTAACCATCCACATTTTACAAGTGAGGGAACTGAATCCCAAGGAGAAACAAGGGCTTATCCAAAATAAGAACACAGACGGGCAGTAATAGATTGTCATCCACTTGTTCTTTAACTTTAGTGTGAGGAATGCTCTTCATTTGCCTGCCCTTCAACCTTGTCCACAGAATGAGACAATGAATGAGGTCTGACCTGGAGCTGGGAATTGCATTGTAAGTAAGTGTTCAGGTAGGTCTGATGCAGATAGTATTACATTTAGAGAAAGCATCGTAGTGACAAAGCAAGGACACCAGAATCGCACTGTGGGGATTCAAACCATAGTCCCACCAACTTCCCCTTACTGAGGCTCAGTTTTACTATGTACGAAAGTGGATAATAATACCGCTGAGTTTATAGGCACCAGTGAGAGCCTGACCCAGAGGAAGAGCACAGGATCTGTCCGTTCCTGTCTGGAGACCTGGGCTCGGCTCCTCTAAGCTCATGAGTCTTCCCTGTCCCACCCGTCTCCCTTTCTCCCTCCCTTGTCTTCCCTTCTGACTAAAGCTATTACCCTGAGACCTGTCAGCAACCACCAACAGAACTCAGGCTTGAGACAAAAGTTAAGTGTTTTAATAAAAAGAAGATGAACTTTCAAAATACTCTTTTACTTCTTGGTACTGACTATACCTTTATGAGAGAAAAAACTGAGCTGCAGTGCGGCAGCTTGGCCCGCTCCATGCACTTATTGGGAGGGAGATAATGGTTATCATCCACCCACAGTTGACCCTCTTCCCTGTCGGCCCAGGTGTGGCTGGGGAACCCACATGTAACTAGTCTGTGAGTTGAGGGGGTGAGTGCGGGTTGGTCTAAAGCATGGTGATCCCCTTCTCCTTGGGGGAAACTGGGGTAACTTTAGACATGTGGCTGATTGTGGATGCACGTTACCTCTGGATTTACCGTTAGTGGCACAATAAAGGTTCTTGTTATTATTCCAGATCCAAATGGGTTTTCTGTTATTTGTAGCAAAAAGCACTATAATAAAGTAGTGAATCACTATAGAAAATAATTTTTTATTCTATGTAAGATACTACCCTTGGCCTAAAAAAAAGGAAAAAATTAAAACACATACACACAGAGCCAAATAACTGAAATCATATTCTAAAACATTCCAAATTAATTTCTTATGCTAAATATGTATGGTATTGACTTGTCCTATAGGACATGGACTAAGGTACCCCTGATATTCTCTTACACTAAAAATCTGTAATACTAAATAGATGTCCTGGAAAAGCACCTGGGTCCTGAAAACCCAGAGTAGCCCTGGGGTTAAGAGCAGCCATAGACTCCAGATGTACCAAATGGTAGCTCTATAGAAACTTAGATGAATTAATCTTTCTGGACCGCAGTTTCCTTACCCATAAAATAATAATAATACCTACCTCAAGGTTGTTGTAAAGATTAAATGTGTTAAATACACGTGGAAATGCTTAGAACAGTGCTTGGCACATAGTAAGCATGTGTGTTAGCAATTGTTATGTTTGCAAAGATACTTCTGTTGTAATAATAGCTGCATATGGTTTTGATATTATTTTTGCTTTTTTTGTGTGCTAGCTTTGCCTCGGGTGCAGCATGGATTGACTGGCACTTTGCAGATGCTCCCAAAATATATCTTACTGTCTCTGTTGTGAGATTTGGTTCCTTTGAGAGTACCTTCAGTGGATTGCCATAAATGTGGATAAGTGATGGTAGCTCCGTTGGGGAGGAATGAAGAAAATGTAGGAAGGCACTGGCATTAGCATGATGATCAAGGACACAAAAAGAAGTTTGCAGGCTGACAGCTTTGGAAAGTAAATGTCTGGAGGTGGAGTTAGCCCACAACTGGAAGAAAGGGAAGCTGCAGAACTTGATACCTACAAAAAGATAAACAAGTGGAAGAACTTGACTTGGACATATCTGTCCGTAAGAAACACCCTGTGGCCCTGGCTGGCGTGGCGCAGTGGATTGAGTGCTGGCCTATGAACCAAAGGGTCACTGGTTTGATTCCCAGTCAGGACACATGTCTAGCTTGTGGGCCAGGTCCTCAGTATTGGGCGCATGAGAGGCAACCACACACTGATGTTTCTCTCCCTCTCTTTCTCCTTCCCTTCCCCTCTCTAAAAATAAATAAATAAAATCTTTTTTTTTTAGAAGGAAAAGAAAAGAAACACCATGCTGTCAGAATGAGCTCCTGGGTAAAGCCTTTTACAACTGCACTTTTTTTGTCTTGCTTTGGGTTGTTGAGTGCAGCTGGCTCTCTGACATGGAAAGGGGCGTTGTCAAGGTGGCTGCCCCTCCGCTTCCCTGAGGAGCAATTCCTCTCAGCCACAGTCCAATTCGTTGCTAGGAACACCCTGTGCTTGTCACATTCACTTTACAATGAAAACAAAGACCAACAAAAAAATGGAACCACCATATGGTCTCAGCTGCAACCCAGAATTAACTGCTGATGGGGAGACTTTGTATTGTCACAGCTATGAACACATGGTCTGTGGCAGAGGCCCTTCCCTTGTATTTTAAGATGTTGAGGTTGGTAGCAAGTTGACCCCAAACTTCTTCAACCAGACTGCAATAGTGTAGCCAGAGCAACTAATTTGTCAACTGCGTTATCTATGTTTGTGTTAGTATGAAGTGTCTCTCAGGACTTGAGGGCAGAGTTATTTTCATAGGCAGAGATGTTGGCACCAAATAAATGTGTATTTCCTAGCATGTTCCAGACTGTTTTACCCTTCTGCCCTACCTGCTTCTTCAACTAGCTAACTTTTGGTGACTCCTTAAGTTACAAGTGTTATTTCTCCCAAGGACCCTTGTAGCCCTCCCAGCCTGGGAGTTCCTTCTCCCTAGTTCCATACCACCAGGTGCGCATCTTTTTGCAGTTACCACATTGCATTCAAGTGATTCTTTTAATACATTAACTGTGAGCTCCTTGAGGGCAGGGACTGGTCTCATTAGTTGTAAGCCCAGCTTCTAGCCTATTGCTGGCATATGGCGGGTCATCAATAAAAGCAGACAAAATTAAATTGATCCATCTTGGTACATTGCTTGTTCCTCCTCTCAAAGTCAGAATGCCCCATAGCTCAGTCATTGGAACTCTTCTCTATTGACACTTATTCCCCAGGTGATCTCCAGGAGTTTCATGGTTTAAACCCAGGGTTGATCACTCCCAAATGTATATCTCTACCATGGACCTGAATTCCTGACCCATGCAGCCAGTGGCCTACTTAATATCTCCACTTAGATGCTCAATATGATCTCACACTGATCATGTCCAAAACTAAACCTCTAATTTTCCCTCCCAAACTATTCCGACAGTATCTCCCATCTTAGTAAGGGGTATATTCATCCTTCCAGGTTACTCAGACTAAACCCTAAGAGTCATTCTGAGTGTTCTCTTGTATACTTTATGGTTAATTTTCTATAAAATTCCATCAATTCAAAATATATGCATATTTGGGCATCTCTCACCTCTTCCTCTGCCATCATTCTCATTCAAGCTGTCAGGATCTCTTGACTGGGTTATTAATATTGCCTCTCTTGGTCTCTGGGCAAGACTGCAGCTGGATGGTCCTCATAAAATGTATGTTATATAATGTCTACCACCTATGCTCAGCCCTCTGGCACTCCCATCTCACACAGTCAAGGTGAAAGCCCTTTCAAGAGCCTGTAAGCCCTGCACCATACCATCAGCATCCCTGCTCCTCCTACCATTTCTTCCTTTAATTCCTCTCTTCCTTCCTTCCTCCTCACTCATATCACTCCAGCATGCTGACCTCCTAGTAAGCTAGGCACAGTTTCAGCTCAGAGGCTTTGCACTTTGCTTTCCTTTCTGCCTGGAATGCTCTCTTCCTAGATATCCTTGTGCCTCACTCTCTATCTCCCTTCCACCTTTGCCCAAATATCACTTTCTTAGTAAGGACTTAGCTGACTATCATATTTCACATTTCAGCCCTCCTACTCCCCTTTCCTTGATTATTTTCCCATATCATATACCACCTCTAATATACTATAATGTGCTGATTTATTTTGCTTATTGTCTATCTTTATCTTCCATCCCCCATTAGCAGATAAGCTCTTTGAGGGCAGAGATGCCTATTTGATTTTCTAATGAAGAGTATTTGGAGGTTCAACACACAGCAAAGTTATGAATGCAAAGCATTAGCATATACACGGCAGAAGTACATGCAAAAGTACATAATAGTTCAACTTTTAAAGCACTCTGACCTCCATGTATTGGAAGGTTAAGTCCTGTTTTGTTTTGTTTTTTTCAATCCACAACCAGATGTTGGTAACTCTTTTGACCCAATGTGGTCGAAGGTCAGCTCTCTTTTGGTATTTCTATTTTGAGGCCAGCAAAATTACACTCTGGCGCTGACCAGTCCTTGTGCAAGGAAGGAACCAACA